GCTATTTCTGTCATTCTATCTTCGTTGTTTATTAAACGTAAAACAAGGATAGAATGACACAAATAGCGCTAATAGCGTCTCCCTGAACGCACCTTTAGAATCAGGGTTGGAAAAAACCCGGGCTTTTTTAAAAAAACTCAACTCACACACACACACACACACTGGGTTTTATGGGGATTTTATTGGCTTTAATTGGGGTTTTTTTGGGTTTTTCAGGTTTTTTGGGGGTGAAATTGATTATTTGATATTTTTTTTCACATAATATTTAGTTTACGTTGTATTTATCATTATTCACTACTTTATTATCACTATCTTATTATCACTACCTTAATACTTTTATATGCAGAATGATTAGTGGGACTATATTGTATAAAAAAAATTATACAATTTCGTTTAAAAAAGTGGAGGTGACCTATATATCTTTTTAGCGCCTCCACCTAGAAGAAAGACAAATGACCAAAATACGTCCCTCTTAAAACCATTTCACTTTCATCTGAAACATTTTTTCCTATCTCCAAAACTGTGGGTGTTATTCGGGTGGTCGGTCTTACGTGACTCACCCTGTATATATCTTAAAATTGGTGTATGTTAAAATTATATCACTTCAGTTATACTTTAATATACATATATTCATTAAATACGTCCCTTTTATGTGTTTAAAAAATTTATTTTTTACAATTCCAATGAAACCCAAAAAAACCCCCACAAATTGCGAGTTTTTTTAAGTGGGTAAAACCCAAAAAAACCCCCCGGGTAAAATAATGCCAATCCTGCTTAGAATGTTTAGATTTGAACACAGAAACATTAATTAGAACTGACAATATGATCGTATCGCAAAGTAATGTTACGAAAAGAATTTACATTCAATTCGAAGCCTAGATACCAAAAACAAAACCCGCTTCTCTTCTCGATGTTCTTTGGGCGCTCGCGAATTCGACAAAGTTCCGAAAACAATGCTTCGAGTGACGCGAATGCAGTACGGCCCTTATGGGAAAAAAACTGAAAATTTCGAAAAAAACACTAAAAATTGGATATTAACACTCAAAGTTGAGTGTTAGAACCTAATTTTCAGTGTTTTTCCAAAATTTTCAGTGTTTTTTTCCATAACGGGGGCGCAACAATATTATAATATACATACTATATGTATATAATACATATATTTATACAATATATATATTTATGTTCATACATATAATTATTTTTGTTAATATTTATATTATATAAAATGTGTCTAACTCATTGTCCTAAAATCATAGAGAGCCGTAGTTGCTTAGAGATATTTATTAATATTATGCAAGAAACATTTGGTGTATATTACTGCTTATTAATTTCAATTTGAGATTCACATTGAGATTCGTTAATTCATCCGTAAAAATGAAAATAATACACACGTCTTGCACAGAAATGAGTCCACTTGCTGTTCACTTTTAACTCGCATGCATCATATTTGTTAACATAAAAATTCTTGAAAACTGTAATTTTCGATTATTTTCAAAAACACAATATATGCTTCGCCTTGTATTGTGATACTGTGAAAACTTGCGAAAGTATGTAAAATAGTTTTGTAAATCACTCCTAGAAAGGAGTTAATAATCGAAAAGCGATCTGCCATAGAAAATATTTACATTTATAACAGGTAGATTTATTTTTATGCAAAATACATGTCTCACGTTTATTCTTTATAGAGACATCAATAGATCAGGGGTAGATTATGAATGGCATTGCACGTGATGTAAAATTAAACGTTTCTTATCACTGAATATTAATTGATAGATAAGAATTGTATGCATATAATATCATAACTGTCGCTTGTACTTGATGCAAGACATTACCATATCTTTTGATATTTTACCCAGGTAGAACACGGAGTCATAATTGTATCATAATGGTATCACAGAACGTCATCATGACGTCATTTGATACCTAAAAATTGACTTATAAGTGATGAATGAGGTCCTCATGACTTCTGTGTTCTACTTGGGTATCAATTAATTATGCAAGCATTTGTTAGATTTAGGCAAGAGTTTTTGTGACACATATTCTAATAAAATCTCTGTTTGTTTTTTTTAATCGACTCATTTTTCATTACTAAGAACTATACTTTGTATAAGCTGTCATGGATTTCTACGTACACTCATTTCTATTTAAAATATCAAATTCACAGATCTTGTGTCTAGAAATTATGGTATTTATGTAGGTTCTTTCAATGCGTTCGTTTGGAGCTGTTCCTTGTGCTTGCATTTGTGATATACAAAACTATCTGACGATTCTCTACTATTATCTGTTGTCATGATCGTTCGATACGTAAAAACCTTGCCTTTGCAGTAACAGCAGTGTTTATCAGAAGGATGCGAATCGTCGAAGTGCTTCCTTATGGCAGCCCAGTTTCCCGAAATGTCTCGGTTGCAATCGTCACAACGAACACGCGTTTGTCGAAATCTGTCATGGACGGAGTCTGTGACAACGCGATCCTCGCCTTCCTCCAAATCTTGCACATAGACTGACATCTTGCATCTACAATCCAAATCACTCAATTAATAGAACATATAGTTCAGTATAAGAGGATTCTGTCTGCAATATTTAAAATTAACAATGAAAAATTTGGAGCGATTAACTTTATCAAAAGAGTATTCTCAACAACAAAAAGCGTTCTTTTTAATCCTTAGTACGCATAATGAGTTTTTGGTCCTTTATTACACACAATGAGATTAATCATCACTTTTATAAATATAAAATTATTAAGTGATTCTTACATCTACATTAACATGTACAAAAAATATTTATAAAGTTATATATTAAAAAAAAAGGAAAGAATAGAATCCATTATTTATCCAAGTGCTTCTAATAAAAGAAAAAGATTTCAAAGAAAAGAAATGCACATGACACGAATTGACTCAATCGTGTGTACTAAGGATTAAATTGTTGACACTGTTAAATCTTTGATTTTAAGCTCTTTCGATACGATTAAGTAATGTGCTAATTACCAATTTTCCTCGACGAACATGCAACTCCAAGCGTCTCAAACTCTTTTTTTCCTCTGTCCACTTTCACTCGAAGCGCGATGAATTGTTACATTCAGGTTAGGAACCGTATGTTGGATTATATCCAAATAACAGCAAGTGATGTATTCTTATGTAATGTTTTTTGCTCCAATATCTGAAACCATCGATATATATTCTAATCACATTGCGTAATTACTTTATATGTATATGTATATATATATATATATAGATAAATACTTGTTGATCCTACAATTGCTCCTACCAGCTTCCACGACAACGCACGTCAGAGCATGGTACAGGAAAAGGTATTTAACAATAAGTAATACATTAATACACCATGTATGTTAAAGTCAAAGCGTCAACAGATGTTAGGCGCTTTCCCTCATTGTCAGATTAAAGCCCATGGCACATAGAAAAACATAAGGCCGTAAGACATAATCAGTAAGCGAATTGGCCAATCACGATAGAGACCGTAAGGCCAGTAGCGAATCCAATCTTATGCGTGGTCTACAATGGGCAGTAGCAGTAGTGAATTAAGGAGTAGGTGCAGAAATCGACTAATCATAGTTGATTATCT